GAAAGGAAGCATTTTTGCGCGTTACAGTTTGCGGTAGCGATAAAGCGTAAGATGAAAGATTTCACAAACGAGATCCGTCCCATTCACCACCATGTTCCTGCGGAACTGTTTATTGCAAACCGAGGATTCTCTACTCTTTGCTTTATTAGACGTAGATCGCCTGGTACAGGGCGAACTTTCCTCTCAGACGGCGGGGGATCGTATTTCATCGTTACATTTTCACCGCATTAACGATCGAAGCAATTAACGCTATCTGCCTCAATACGGCATATGGTTGCGAGAGATAAAGGAATCGCTTTCTACTTCCCAGCTAACGTCATTGCCATACGAATACAAAGGTTCCTTTAATTACTTTAATTACCTAGGCACCAATGCCTTTCGAACATTGTAGGAAAGAGGCAAGATCTGCCTTGCATTATACAATTCGTAATTATCTATTACTCTGTTATATCCTCTCCATGATCGCGATAGATGTATTTGCTTTGATAAGCGGTTAATCTATTTTTGCACCTTTAATCTACCCAAACATCTCCATTTTCTTCACACTGTTTCTCAACTTTTGAGATTGACAATTTCAGAAATCCTGCTAGTTTATTCTTAGTCGGAAGTATTTACAAGAAGAATTGGATTCTTCATTTTCTTCCATTCTACAGTATCCATCTTTGATATCAGATCGTATCATGATGCTTTGAATAAATCTTGCCAAGTCCGTCATTCGGATTTATTTTGACCCATTTTTTATTTTTAAAATGTAACGACACTCCGTATTGATTGTCGCGCTTATAATTTCATCAAAACCGTGCGATATCGATGCGTACGTTTTTAAATCGTAATCGCGTTAAAGAGGTACACTCTGGGGACGAAACGAGAGGCGTAAGATCTTTCTTTCTTTTTCTTTTTTTTTTTTTTCGGGAAAATGCAAAGAGCTAAATGTGCGTCTCTCACGTGATGACAATTCTATAAAAAGATCATTGAAGTGAACTCCATGATTTGCAATGATCAAGCATCGATAAAATTGCCGACGCGAGACGTTTGTTGCTTTTCGTACATTTACGCATCGCGCGTTCGTGTTTCATATTTTTTCCGCGGCTAGAAAGCAATTTGAATACAACGCACGATGAATCATCATTCTCTTGGCGATCGGTAGTTGCGTTTTCGTTACTGTCTCTGATCGGATTGTTTTTCTCGCACTCCTCTTTCTGACAATCCTCGGACTGTATTCGGTGAAAAAAATCGACAGTTTTTTCAATAAATTAATCTTCAGAGAATGGTCGAATAAGTAACATCGTTTATTTCGAGCAGAGATTTTGTTTCCGCTTTTTAAAACTCGTTAAGATACTTCAACGTAAAAAAAAATGAGATGGTCATTTCCCGCTTAAAATAATTCAACTCAGAAATTTAGTTCGAAACTCGTTAGGATACTGAATTGCGACCTTTCAAATCGTGACGAAGGATTCTTTTTGATACCTTCTCTGAAGAGAAATTACGTCGGAGTAAAAAAATATAGGATAACTCCGGCAAAAATACGCTGAGATTTACGCCGCAGGAATCAGAAAAAAATAGGAGGAGTGGAGGTAATTTTTCCGCAACTACTCTGTTACATGCCTTTATGTTATATTAATATTGTATTATGATTTCAGTTTCTTACTCTCTCTCTCTCTCTCTCTCTCTGTGTGTGTGTGTGTGTGTGTGTGTGTGTGTGTGTGTGTGTGTGTGTGTGTGTGTGTGTGTGTGTGTGTGTGTGTGTGAATATTAATGAAATTATTATGAGTTGAATCGATTTGTGTTAAGTAGCGCCATCACATAAATTATAATCTACATATAATAATTACTGTAGGACATGCAAAAGACTTAGTGGTTATTTCCTGATATATGAGTGTAGAGGAATAGTAAAGTATATTGCATAACAAAATACAAGTACTTTGCTCTTGTATTCTTTGTTTAGATTGTTATCTTGTACATCTAACCTGTTTGGGATATATGGCATTTTTAACAAGCGGGATTTATGCCTAAAGAATACAAAGCGTGCGCAGATTGAATTCAGTGCATTAAATGCAATAAACGCATTACATGAAATATGTAATATAAATGTGCCTCATGTCACAACACTTGTAATACATCTGGGAAGATTGTAATTATTATTTATTACTTCATATATACATATTTGTCATTCTTAATAAAACTTTATAAACGCATTTTATAAGTTATTGTGTCATTTTACGTTTTATTTATGTATATCCATTATGGGATGTACGACAAAAATGGCAAGGGTTTAAAAAAAGTTCATTTTCTAATAAGAAATATAAATATTTCGGATTTCTAATATTTTTTTTCCCAATAGTAGACAACACAAAGTTTTTACTGATACAGTTGGTTTACTTTAAACGTAGTAAGCAATATTTAATAAATTATATTCGCGTTTATTTAACAACATTTTCTTTTTAAACACGCTGTATACCTTCTCTTTCTGTTATTCAGCTGCACCAGAAAAAAAAGTTCAGTTATCTTGTTATCTTGGAATAATATTTTTATATGCGTATCTGTAAAATATAAATTATCTCGGGTTACTAAGGCAAGCGATTAACGCGGCATTCAATTGTATAAGTTGTTTGTAAAATTGCAACGATTTTGTTGAAAAGTCGTGATCGCAAATTTTTTTGTCCGCCCTTCGTGTCGTTTACAGTTACGCTCTAAAAGGCTCGAGTTAATTAGTAGACACGTTACATAAGAAAAGATTAATGTTGCCGAAGTTAAAGGATTAACATCGCGGTTTAGCCGCGATGCAAATTCGTTGACCCAGAGCATATATTTCGCCCGTAAAAACACCCACTGGCTTAAATTGGTTCCCCTTCCTCCCGACACTGACGATTTATTTGTGGGCCCGAAACGTTTAATTCGGTCTCGCTTGTGGCTAATTCTATGCTGTACCGTAATAGTTCCGTATTTATAGTATATTACAGTAATATCGTGACAATTAATTTGCCGGCCATCGTTATATTGTCCGTCGTTGAGCGATTTTAGAATATATTGCAATAATAATGACAAGTCTTCTTTCGGGCGGTGCATTAAAAATGGATGTAGCTTGACACTTCGGCGTTGCGATCAAAGATCAACCATTCATAAAACTGACGAATCGGAGTAGTTCAATCTGATATTTAATGTATTAATATATTAAAAATAATATACAAACCGCAGTACATTATGAAACGGTACGCTTAATAAACACATAGCTAAAAAAAAAAAACATCGATTGAAGGTATTGCATTTATGTACAATGAGTGAAAAAATAAAAGAAGAATAAGATCGAGATATTCAAAATGTAAACTGTATTTTAAAAGCGATTCGCAATTCTTTTCTGCTTACCCGTGTATATAATAGTTTTGTTTTTTAATTTTAATAACATTGTTTCTTCTTTCCGTACTGGGTTTCAAAAATTGTATTTATTTATTTATTTTTTGTCGTAATGAGCACTTCGATTACTGTAGTTTAGTTGCAATTGTCATTTTGGTCGAAAGTCATCAATCACGCTACTGGAAATTATGATCTGTCCGCGAGAATCGAGATAAATATTCCTTTTTTTTTTATTTTGTTTTTATTTTTATTTTTTTTTTTATTTTTTAGGAGAATACCTGTCACAGAGTAAACGAACGTTTTATCTCAACACTTAGTTAAAAATTCCGTTGTATTAGCTCGTCGCTGCGGCGGCTCAATTATCAATTCCAATTGAAAAACACGCTCTCTCCTCCCATAACAACGTCGCGCACGACATCATTCCCTTTTATTCCGCTTGAAAGCCACAATCTCGCAGTGGTAAACGATTCGACACTTTGTTTGCCGGTCCGTGGGCTCTCTGAAGCACACGCCAGCCGGCGCTTTGCGAACTTGTTCGTATACGCACGGCGTCGTAATCGATACATGAAAGTGACACGCGCTCGAGTTTCCATTGAATATTAGGTTTTAAAGCGCGGTCCAGTTCTGTCGCTCTCCGCGGACTGTCGTGCTTATTTATCGCTCACAGCCTTTTTCCCGCAACACCCCGAGCGGAACGCATTAAATCTAGAGAGACGAGTAATGCGGGAATCATTTAAAAGCCAAACGTCCCTTTCTACCGGTAACTTTTCCGTTTTTTTTTTTTTTTTTTCCGTTCGAAATTCTCTCGTGACCAAATATTTTTCTTGAACAAAACCTTTTAAATACTCGACGAGTATTTAATGTATCTTGTAAAATACAAATATAAATTTTATTTACGTAATTTAACCTATTTTTGTAATCTCTTTACCGTCACGATTGCGTTCCCCATTTTGACAACGAGAAAGTATAAGCTTCGACGTTCTTACATACGAATATTATCATGTTTTTCTACATTGTTCATTATTATTATAGATTAATATAATTATAGATTAATATAATTTTGAATTTCCAAATGAATAAAAGTGTGTTTCTTTTTTGTGTTGCAGTGTTCTTAATATTCCATCCAGTGTGATTTCGAAGACTTGCCTCTTATTCAAGACGTGGTGCAACAATGGGTCGAAAGAAGATTCAGATTTCACGTATCACGGACGAACGGAATCGTCAGGTAATTTCAAATATTTTCAATCAGACACAAGGTCTGACGTTTCTGTAGCGATTTAATTGCGGCGCTCATTATTGCAATTAGTATACATATTTTTGGAAGTTGTCGTGGGGAAAATTGGAGCGTTACAAGCAGCAGAAATTTATTTGTTCACCTTTTATTATTGCAAAGAAATATCAATTTCCGAGTATCACAAGTCAATATTTCGAATATAGACGTTTAAATTCTACTCTTCGCCTTTCTACATAAAGTGCAGAATAGTGCATAATTAAGATAATCGTCTCTCGGATATAAACACGGCGGCTCTATTGTAGATACATTTTTTTTTTTTTTCTGAAAATAAATTTACGCTCGCGGTGAGAAAGGAAGACGTAAGAACGCGTATAAAAAGATCAAACTTGTTAATTATTGATGCGATTTTACGTAACTGATCGGGCAATTAAATAACGCGACGAATCAATTATCGCGAAACGAAGAGTATTGGCTGCGCCTACCTTTATTAACAGTCTTACTCAAAACCTCGCTGAAGTTGACCTTCGATGCGATCCCCACTTCTGCTTTTATATGCGACAGGTGACCTTTAACAAACGGAAATTCGGCGTGATGAAGAAGGCGTACGAACTGTCGGTACTGTGCGACTGCGAGATCGCGTTGATTATCTTCAGTTCGAGCAACAAGCTATACCAGTATGCGAGCACCGACATGGACAAGGTTCTCCTCAAGTACACCGAGTACAACGAACCCCACGAGTCTCTCACTAACAAGAATATTATCGAGGTGAGTCTATTTATCCGTCACGGATTCTCAGGACGAACGAGGATGCGCCAAGGATCGAAGTATCGATGTCGTTGCCGATTTTTTTTTTTTTTTTTAAATGTCTCTCTTTCGCTAAAATTTTCGAAATGGGGAAAGAAATATATATCTCATGTTTATGGATATGTATACATGCCAAGATCAAGCCAGCCAGTGTCGAATATACAGGGTGTATCGAAGAAGCTTCGCTAAGAATTATAAATGATAAAAAGGATTGAGAAGGACCTCGGCTGTTTCAACGGATTAGAATACAGATAAATTTTATTTGATTGAACGTTACTACGTATTGAAGGGTTTTTTTCTTCAGAAATACGAGTAAACAACAGGGTCAATTTTCGAACACACATACACTCGGGCCTTAGTTTAATGAAATTCCAACCTGTAGCTCATAAATTCTCGTATTAGGTGTCGAGACTTTTAAAATTGAGTAGTTTGAAAAGAACAACATTAAATTTTAAGAAACGATATCTAAAAATCTGATACAACGTATGATTACGCCGCGACACGTGTATTGTTTTAAGATAACTGAGAAGTTTTGGAATGATCATTCTCTTTAGGCATGTTCTTTTAATTTTATCACATTATATTAGGTGTGTTGATAATTTACAAAGAATATAAAATCGATGTTTCACGTACAATACGGTCTTACACGCTTGGGGAACGCGGTTTCACTTCGATGAGAGCAACGCGATCCCTTTTTCCTTTTCTACGCGAGTATAATTGCGCGAATAAACCGGGTATAGGATAAGAAGCGCGCGTCTTGGTGTTAAATTAACGTGCATGTGAAGGTTGAGTGCCCTCGGGCGGTGTGGTCACGTGAACCTGTCTGCTGACACTTGCAGGCGCTCAACAAGAAGGAACATAAGGGTGCCATGTCTCCAGAGAGTCCGGAACCCGACGCAATCGAATATAATCTTACCCCGCGCACCGAGGCCAAATATACGAAGATCGACGAGGAGTTTCAGATGATGATGCAGAGGCATCAGCACAATGGCAGCAGGGTAAATATTCAAATCAAGTTAAATGTCAGTTGTATCGAGCCGAGCTTATGTTTATGCAAAAGAAAAAGTTACAGTTTTTTTTTTTTTTACTATGCTTACCACACATTTACGTTTATGCAAAACGCCAATTAATTTATTCGTCTGAAATTTTTATATTCTTCACGGAATGCGAATATAATACCTAGATATTTCTATATAATAATTTTTGATCTCGGGGCCCCTCTCTTCAAACATGTTATTCAAAATATTTAAAACTGTCTAGTTTTATTTATATAAGGACTATTTAAACAAGTTAGTTAATGTCTTAAACTTAAATTTATCGTCTTTGTTAAAATAATTGATATGTGAATATTATGTTTTATTTAAAATCTTAGTACGGCCTATCACGAGGCACAGATGAATTTTTGTAAATGTAGGTTACGATTGTTTTTGTGCTTATTTTTCTACAAAGAGAGAAGACACGTGGTAAGGATTTTTTTTTATTCTCTTTTCGTAGAATATTTTTGCAGCAAATGTTACGGTTATTAGCAATTATTATAATAAATATTTTATTATTTTAAAAATATTATACATATGATATGTATGTATGTTATAAAATTATACACACACACATATATAAGTAACAATGTTTTGTGTACTATTTTCTTATTATTTATTTATCATTATATAAATTAATATAGAATTAACATATAGAATTAACATATACAATTTATAACTTGTAAGAATTTAACATATTTTAATTTAAAATGAGAATAATTAAATAGAACAATTAACTTCGATTTAAATAAAACACACAATCAAAACATATGAATTTATATAAAAAATTGTTTGACGTGTTTCTCTTAAAATTGCTTATCCAATTGTTTTTAGGATACTATTTTCGTCACTAAGAAAAGAATTAAATATGAGTTTATATACATACGCGTCATTATATTACATAAAGTTAAGATAGAACAATAGCAAATTGCAAATTTACTATCAACTGCTCAGCACAGCGCTATATCTATACACTCTTCACTACAGGTATTATTAATTTGCATTGTCTGTTGTGATTGTAGACAATGGGACAATCGAATTATACGCTACCGGTATCTGTACCAGTGAACAGTTACGGCGAATCTCTTCTTGGATCTAGTCCACAGATGGCACATACCAGCATTTCTCCACGTCCATCGTCGTCTGAGACGGATTCAGGTAACTTTAATTAGTAACAAAAGGCTAGAGTGATAAATTCCCAATATTTCCAAGAAATTTGCGTCTAACTTGATGTAAACTATTTCTTGTAGTATATCCTCCGGGAGGAATGTTGGAAATGAGCAATGGCTATCCTCCGTCATCACCATTGGGTGGTTCACCTAGTCCAGGACCTTCGCCCGCACTCGGAGTTGGTGGGGGTAGTGCAAATAAAGGCAGCAATCCGTCTAGGCATTCGCCGCAACCTCCGCCTCCACCGCCACCACCTCATCCTCACAGGGCTAATCTTCGAGTGGTTATACCAACACCACTTGCGCAACCTCTCTCCGAAGACACTAATTATGATGTAATTGTCTCATTATTATTAACTTAAATGAGTGTTACAAGAAATGTTTATTTTAATCTTTATTTTATAACAATTCTTCTAAGTTTCTCATATTTATAAATTTAAAAAAATTATATAATTTGCAATAATTATTAAAACATAAAGTTAGAAATTGAATTCCAAGATACAATATCCAGATATTGAAGAAAATAAACTCCTTCTTTTTGTGAAAAATATTTTAAAAATGACAGAGAAAAAGTTTCTTATTAATTATTAAAGTATATACATTGTGTGTTAGAGATAAAAAGATGTTCAAAATTTATGAGAAATCCATTTATGCTTTTAGAATGCCCATACGCAGTCTGCATTGAACACACCTGTAGTAGCATTACAAACACCAACAGTACCAGCCGGATACTCTAGTTTTGGACCAACAGATTACTCCTCGGATCTCGGAGGCCTTGCATGGCCCACTCATCAGAGGTACGTTGTTGATGAGTTATATTCGGCAGCCACCATGTCCAGCATCAGGTAAATCATATTTCATAATTATTGTTGTGAAAGAAAGCTATATGTCCAGTTGGTATGACATACTTTCAGTTATTTTATCCATATTAATTAATAGATGACATGTTCGGTTCTAATTGGATTACAAAATTGAACATATATAATAAAATATTTTTCACATTTTAATAAATTGTATTAAATCTTATTACAATTCATTTATATACTTCAGTAATTGAAGCAAATCCGGACTCAATGTACACATTGTTTCAATTAGTTCCTATTTTCTCATTCTTATCCTCGTTATTTCTTTCTGTTTCTTCTCTTCGTTTGTCTTTTTAAATTCTTCATATTCATTATTACTTAATTAAATAATTCGCATGGATCTGTTACTGGTAGCTGTAATATATCGACCACTGGAGCGTTATAGTTTTTTTTCGGTTACAATAGTGTTTGGCATGTCATTAAAATTGTGAGTGTTGGCTATTCTTCATTTTCATTTACAGATAGATTGTGTGCTTAAGTAAAATCACATTATGGGAAAATTTTCAAATATATTATCAAAAGTACATCTCCACATCAT